TGTCCCAGGCCTACCACACCTGTCCCACACCTGTCCCAGGTGTCCTACACCTGTCCCACACCTGTCCCAGGTGTCCCACACCTGTCCCCAGGTGTCCCACACCTGTCCCACACCTGTCCCAGGTGTCCCACACCTGTTACGGCGCTGCAGACTCAGCTGCTGCCGGCCCAGCTCCGCCTCCAGCTGTCGCTCCGCCTCCTCCTGCTCCTGCTGCACCAATCGCCTGCGAGAACGGGGGGTTTGGGGGTGGGGTCACCTCGGAGGGGGCGGGGCCAGAGCCGGGCACTCACCTGACCGCAGGTGCCTCTGGGCCCAGCTGCTCCTCGGTCTCCATCACACGGCGCTCTGGGCAACGGGGGGGGACACACCTGGGCTTGGGGGGGCTCAGGTGGCCTGGGGGGGTCACTCAGGGGTCAGGGGTCACTCAGGGGTCACTCAGGGGTCACTCAGGGGTCACTCAGGGGTCAGAGGCTCACCCCAGCTCAGCCACTTCTCCTCCATCTTCTCCAGCTGCACCAGTTCAGCCTCCAGGTGGGCTGGGGTCTGGGGGGGACACAGGGGTGGGGGGGTGATCCCAGGTGTGCCAGGGGCCCCCCAGGTGTGTGAGGAACCCCCCCCAGGTGTGCCAGGGACCCCAGGGCGGGGCTCACATGGGTGTAACGCAGGTGTTTGTGCTCCTCCATGATGGCCTCAAGCTGCTGGCAGTACTGCAACCTGGGGGAGGGGACACAGGGGTGACACGCTGGTCACACGACCTGTGTGGGTCACCTGGTGCCACCCCAGCCCCACCTGTGTCCCCCCCAGCCCCACCTGTGTTCCCTGCGCAGGTGTTGCAGCTGCTCCCAGCGCTGCTCCATCCCCTCCAGGTCCTGCTGCTGCTCCAGGCAGAGCCCGCAGTGCCTGGGGGGGGTCGGGGGGCACCAGGTGTGTTTGGGGAGGGGGCTCAGGTGAGGCTCAGAAGGGTCACAGGTGTCCCCACTCACCTCTGACCTTTGGCCTCCACCTCCTTCCCGTGCAGCCGCGCTCTCTGCAGGGACTCTGGGGGGGTCACAAGGGTCGGGGTCGGGGGGACTGGGGGGCTCAGAGGGGTCAGGAGGGTTCTGAGGGGTCACAGGGGTCAGGGGGGTCACAGGGGGGGACACACGGTGGGGGTCACCCCTCTGGGGGAGTCAGGAGGGAGCAGAAGGGTCAGGGAATCACAGGGGTCAAGAGGGATCTGGGGGGGTCAAGGGGGTTCAGAGGTCCAGGGGGCATCAGGGGATGGTTTTGGGGGGGCCCGGAGACCCCCAGGGCCCCCTGGGCTCACCTTGCACCTGCTGCCAGGACCCCTCCAGTGCCTCCTGGCGCTGCTCCACTGCGGGGAGGGGGAAGTGAGCTCAGAGCCCTGTGTCCCCCACAAACCCCTCAGTGTCCCCAGAGCCCCCCGGAACCCCCCAGAGCCCCCTGGAGCCCCCCAAAACCCCCTCTCTGTGTGTCCCCAGCCCTCTCAGTGTCCCCCCAGGTGACTCACGCTGCTCCAGGTGCTGGCACAACCCCTCACTGCAGTCCTGTGCCTTCACCAGCTCCTCCACCGTGGTCTGAAGGACTGCGGGACGCAGTGGGACCGACAGACGGACACGTGGGGACAACGTGGGGACACAGGGAACATGGCAGGGGGGTGGTGAGGGGGGACACGGGGGTCCTCACACTCACCTTTCTGCGTGCTGTGGACCTGCCTCAGCAGCACCTCCACGCCTGGGATCCCCCTGGGGGGACCTGAGGGGAGAACTGCGCAGGACACAGGGACACTGCATCTCTTGGGGACCCCCAGGACCACCTTGTCCCTGGGCCGGGGGGATGTGGGGACACACGGTGGTCTCGGGGGGTCTCGGCCGTAGGGCCCCTCACTGCGTGGGTCCATCACTGCAGCCTGGAGGGACACGGTGGGGATGATGATGGTGGGCCCTGGCTTGTCCCCTCCTGTCGCCTCGTCATCCTCTTCATTCCCCTTTTCCCACCCTCAACCCCGCATTTTTCTGTCGCGTTTCACCATTTCCTCCCTCCTCCTCCTCTTTTCCTCCCACTTCCCCCCACTTCTGTCACGTCCTCCTTCCAGTTCCTTCCACCTCTGTCCCTTCCATCTCTGTCCCTCCTTTCCCTCTCCAGTTTTCCCCTCTTGCCCTCATTTTCTGTCACCAGCACCATCTTTCCAGTCCCCTTTTTACACTTTCCTGCCTTGTGTCCTTACAATTTGTCCCTTTTCATCCCCCATTCCCCCTCACCTTCTTTCTGCAGCTCTGGCAGCTCCTCTCCTTTCCGCTCCCTCACGTTTTCCCGCTCTTTTCCCCTCACGTTTTCCCGCCCTTTTCCCCTCACGTTTTCCCGCCCTTTTCCCCTCACGTTTTCCCTCCCTTTCCCCCTCATGTTCTCCTGCTTTTTTCTTTATTTTCCCCGATTTTCCCCACCCTTCCCCTTCATGTTTTCCTGCCGTTCCCCCCTCACGTTTTCACACAATTTCTTTTTTATTTCCTCACTTTTCCCCTCACATTTCCCCACCTTTTCCCCTCATGTTTTCCCACCCTTTTCCCCTCATGTTTTTCCACCTTTCCCCTCACATCTCCCCACCATTTCCCATCCACTCTTTCCCCTAATTTTTGTCCCCTTTTCACCCCCAGTGTGTCACTTCTTCCAGCACATCCTCCTCCCTCTTTTCTGCTCCCTTTCCCATCTCTTTTTGCCCTCTCTTTGTTGTCACCTCCTCCAGGCTTTCCTGCCACACTTCCCCCCCCATTTCCTCACCTGTTTTCCCACTGATTTCTCCCCCATTTCCCCTCTTCTCTCTCTCCTCTTACCCACCTTTCCCTCCAGATTCTCCCCCCATTTCCCCTCTCATTTTCTCTTCCCTTTTTCCCCCCGTTCCCCCCGGGACTCGGGAGTCTGGCCGGGCTCTCAGCGTTTATTGTCAGCCCTCGGTTTCGGGCGCCTCGGGGCGCGCGGGCGCGGCGCAGAACGGGGCCGGGTAGCGGATGAAGAGCCAGTCCTCCTCCTTCTTGAGCCAGCGCAGCAGCTTGGTCAGCACGGCGATGGCGCCCGCCTTGGTCACCAGCGGGCTGAAGCAGCTGTACAGCTCGAACTTGCTGGTCACCTGTGGGGAGCCACGTCTGTCACCGTGGGGAACTGCTGGTACACGCCGGTGGGTGAGGAGACATCGCTAATTGTGGGATTTACTGATGGTAGCCATCCCGTTAATTGTGGGATTTATTGATGGTAGCCATCCCGTTAATTGTGGGATTTATTGATGGTAGCCATCCCGTTAATTGTGGGATTTATTGATGGTAGCCATCCCGTTAATCATGGGATTTATTGATGGCACCCATCCTGTTAATTGTGGGACTTATTGATGACACTGCATCCTTTTAATTGTGGGATTTCCTGATGGCACCACCAATGAGTATCCCATTAATTGTGTGATCTACAGGTGACATGACATCCCATTAATTAATTGTGGGCTCTAACGACAGCACCACCACTGATTGAACATCCATCCTGTTAATTGTGCGATCCACAGGTGACACCACAACCCATTAATTGTGTGATCTACAGGTGACACCACATCCCGTTAATTAATTGCGGGCTCTAACGACGGCGCCACCAGCCAGCGACACCCACCAACCCTAGAACCTCCCGGCCACATCCCAACCCCTCTCTGCTGCCCCTGGGCCCCTGTGCGGGCTCCTTGCCCCCTCCTCACCCAGGCCAGGAGCGTTTCCTTCTCGGCCACGTGGTAGAGCAGGCGCAGGGGCCGCTGCGGGCTGTGCACGCGGCCGTGCAGGTAGTGGTACAGGTCGAAGAGCCGCTGCTGCTCCTCCTCGCTGCTGTAGGGCTCCTCCAGCTCGGGGCTGCAGTCAGGGAGAGCTCAACATCGGGGACACCCAAAAACACCCCAATCCTTCAGGGTTCCCGTTCTTTTCCCCTCACGTTTTCCCGCTCTTTTCCCTCACGTTTTCCCGCTCTTTTCCCCTCGTTTTCCTCCCTTTTCCCCTCACGTTTTCCTCCCTTTTCCCCTCACGTTTTCCCGCTCTTTTCCCTCACGTTTTCCCACTCTTTTCCCTCACGTTTTCTCGTTCTTTTACCTCACGTTTTCCCACTCTTTTCCCCTCACGTTTTCCCGCTCTTTTCCCCTCACGTTTTTCTTCACGTTTTCCCTCCCTTTTCCCCTCATGTTTTCCTCGCTTTTCTCTCACATTTTTCCTCCCTTTTCCCCTCACGTTTTCCTCCCTTTCCCCCTCATGTTTTCCCGCCCTTTTCCCCTCACATTTTCCCTCTCTTTTCCCCTCACATTTTCCCGCCCTTTTCCCTTCACATTCTCCTGCTTTTTTCCCTCTTTTCCCCCCGATTTTCCAACTCCTGCCCACCTGGTGAACTGCGGCAGCTGCTGCATCTCCTCGGGCCCCTCCAAGGGTTTGTAGAGGAAATGCCGGAGCTCGGGGGCTCCGGGGCGGGACGGGCCGTACCCCGCTCCCCCTCTCACGGCCGCCGCCAGCTCTGCCAGCCAGCCCTGAGCCCTCAGCGTGTCCTCCAGCTGCCTCCTGCACGCCGCCGCCGCGTAGAAACCTTCTCTCTCCGTGGACAGCAGGATCAGCGTCACCCCTTCCTCCTCCTCCTCCTCCTCGCCCAGCCGCGCCGCGTAGGCGTAGAAATACCCATCGGGGTTAAAGCGAGGCAAACACACGGGCGTCCACACCTCTCCCGCGCCCACCCCTCCGCCCAGCAGGTTGAGCAGCAGGTGCAGGTCGCTGGCGCACAGCCGCCCGCCCTCGGCCAGCGCCCGCTGCCTGGCCGCCGTCACCAGCCTGCCGCGGGCCGCCAGCACGGCCAGGGCCGGCGCCGGCCGAGCCGCGGCGGCCGAGCGGCGCAGGGCACCGGACACGGCCCGGCGGAGCCCCCCGGGCAAGGGCAGGCAGCGAGCGGCCCCCAGCAGCAGCCGGCCGTCGGCGGCGGCCCCGCAGAGCAGCCGGTCCAGCACGGCCTCGGCGCCCGCCAGCAGCCGGCGCAGGTCGAAGCCGCGGCGGCGGGCGAAGACGCGGGCGATGCCCCCGCGGGTCAGCAGCGACAGGATCTGCTCGTGGACGAAGGCCAGCTCCCGCCGCAGCTGCGCCGCGGACTGCCGGGTGCGGGACACCGACACCAGCAGCAGCGGGCCCCGCTGCTCGAACACCAGCGTGCGGTCCTCTGCCGGGGAGAGAGAGACAACGCGGCCGTCACACCCGGGGGCTCGGCTCGGGGCAGACTGGTGTGCCTGCAGTGGGGTGTGCGGGGTGTTTTGGGGTGTTGGTGGTGTTTTGGGGTGTTTTGGGGTGTGTGGGTAGCCTGGTGTGCCTGCAGTGGGGTGTTTTTGGGTGTTCTGCGGTGTTTTGGGGTGTGTGGGTAGCCTGCTGTGCCTGCAGTGGGGTGTTTTTGGGTGTTCTGTGGTGTTTTGGGGTGTGTGGGTAGCCTGCTGTGCCTGCAGTGGGGTGTTTTTGGGTGTTCTGTGGTGTTTTGTGGTGTTGATGGTGTTCCAGGGTGTTGTTGGTGTTTTGGGGCATGCAGTTATTTTCGGAGAGCGACTGTAGCGAGGCGGCTGTTCTTTGGGGGGCAGCAGGACCCCTCCCCAAGGAAGGGCTGTGGGGACGATGCCACTTTTGTGGCGCTGTTTGTACCCGGGCAGGCCGATTCGGTGAATTCACCCGCGCCAGGCAGTTTTGGGGCAGGGAGGGGAGCAGGCACGGCTGTACCTGTGCCATGGTACACCTGAGGGTGTGTGTAAATTTGGGGAGGGGTCCCACCTCCACCCGCAGCCCCTCCGGCCCCGTACCCGAGCAGATGGCGCGGATGGCGTTGCCGCCGCTCTGGATGAAGGACACGAGGGCCATCATGACGCCCATGGTGGCCGCCAGCGCCTCCTCGTTGCCGTGCCGGGAGTAGATCGGCTTGCCGGCCTCGCTGAGCACGAAGACGTGTTTGCGCCGCGCCCGCCAGCCCGCCGCCGCCACGTCCTCGTCCGCGCCGCGCCGCCCGCCCGGCGCCGAGGTGGCCGCCGCCGCCGTCACCGCTGCTGTCACCTCCTCCTCTTCCTCACCGGGGTGAGACATCGGAGATGTCACCGCTGCTGTCACCTCCTCCTCAGGATGACATTCTGGGGATGTCACTGCTGTCACCTCCTCCTCTTCCTCACCACAGTGAGACACCGGGGATGTCACCGCTGTCACCTCCTCCTCAGGGTGACATTCTGAGGATGTCACCGCTGCTGTCACCTCCTCCTCGCTGGGATGGCACCCTGGGGACGTTGTGGCTGTTCCTGCTGTCCCTGCTGCCACCACGTCCTCGTCCCTGCCACACGGCCCACCTCGGGATGTCACAGCTGTCACCTCCTCCTCCTCCTCCTCCTCCTTGTCACCGGGGTGGCACCGCAGGGACGTTGTGGCTGTCACCGCTGCTGTCACCTCCTCGTCCTGGCTCCCAGCAGGGTGACACACGGGTGATGTCACATCTTCCTCCTCATCCTCCGCGCTCCGGTGACA